CACACTCGAGACGCCACTCCTTGGCTATGCATGCTGGACCCTTTGGCTCCCAGGATGCCCCTTGTCTCCAATGGTTTTGTCCTGTCTTTGGTCTGTACTGGCATCCCAAAGCTGAGTCTTTAGAGACGCTAATGGGGCTGCAGACGCGGTGGGGCAGAGCCCAGCCTGCCACCGTAGGAGGCAGTGGTAGTGGCTCCTGGTGCAGGTGCCAGTCTTAAAGGCCAGGTGAGCTTTGGTCTGGTCTGGCTAGGCAGTGGAAGGACAGGACCTGCATGAGGTGGGGCAAGTGGTGGGACACCCCCAGGCTCTCACCTGGTCCTAGCCACTCTGCATGCTGGCCTTGCCAGTCTTGCCACATGAAACACCTTCCTTCTGACACCCAAAATCCACCTGACTCACATCACAGATAAGTGACTAGTGCTCAGCCCAGTCCCACCGCTGGTGAGTGGCTAATTAGGGGGGATCCAGCGTGTCTGGTGCCAGTCCCTCCCTGAGGAACCTGCCTGCCTGCACCTGTGGTGCCTTCCTGGCCGCAGCCATCTGTCCCATCCCACTTGCCCAGATGGCAGGCTCCGAAGGCCTGGCCGGGCAGCAGGGGCTCAGGTCAGAGAGGATCTCAGTGCAGGCAACAAATGAAGCCCTCTCCTCCAGCGCCTCCCCAGCCGCCACCCCTTCCCAGTCTCAGCAGACGGCCTTGAAAATAGAAGCCACCAGAGCAGATGTCTCCGAGCACCTTTACCTGTGCCCTCCTCTGTGTCTGTGCCCAACGTGCTGCCCCCCAAGAAGCACTGCCCATGCTGCCAGCCCAGGGTGCCCCCGTGAGTGGCAGGCCCCACCCCTGCCGGCCTCCTCTGGGTTATCAGCTGGCCTGCATCTCCAGCACTTTTGCCCATCAGCGCACTGCACACATAATGGACACACACACATGCAGGCTGCAGCATGCTGCCCACACACACGCGTGCACACACAGCACGCCGCCCAGGATGCACAGATGCATGTGTGGGCCTGCCCACGTGTCTGAGTGCACATACATGCATGTGCACGTGTGTTACCCCCACCGTTTCATTCTTTAAGCCTGCCCCTTCCTCTCCCATCCTCACGGCTCTATCCCGCTCCCCGCTTGCTCCTGAACTCTCTCCAAACAGGCTTCTCCCCCAACCCATGAGATTCTGTAAAGGGCACCGTGACCTATGTGTTGCCACATCCGAATCCGTCCCACCCGACTGCTCCCTTATTTTTGGGACACCTTCTCTTCGGGGAGCCCTGAGCCTTCTTGGCCCCACAGCCCTTACCCACCTCCTTTCTTGGAAGCCCCGGCTGGGGCCTTGGGCCTCTCACCTCCTGTCCCTGGTGCCTCACACTCCAAGCACCCTCTTTATACCCATGCCCCCCACCTCCAGGGCCAAGGACACTTCTTGGCTCCGCCACCTTCCAGGTGCTCAGCTTTCCCCTAACACATGGGAGGCCTCCTAGATTCTCCTCATCTGCTCACACCCTCACCTATGGGCCAGGGGTCCTGCAGCAGGTGGCACGTCTCTCCAGGGATTCCCGGTGCCCTCCGCCTGCTACAGCACGGTTGGCTTCAGTGACTGCAGCCTCTCTGTCTCCTTGCAGTGCATTCTCAACTAGAGTTGCCAAGAAAACCTAAGCTGGCCATACCACCCCTCTGAGGGCCCTTCCCACTCCCCAGCGTCCTCACACGCTTTCTGGGGCCTCTGTGCTCGCAGCCCCAGCCTCCCCCCACTGCCTGTATCTCCCTGCCTGGGCACACACAGACCCTGCCCTGGTGGGACAAGCCCTCCCAGAGGAAGAGGAGTGTGCCTGGGTCAGGTCCCAGCAGGAGCATGATGGGGTCAAAGGTCAACTCCCATCTGAAGATGGCAAGACCCCCCTACTCCGCCCTCTGCCTGGGGCTTCCTAGGTGTTTGGAAGTCATGCTCTGCCTGTTCCCCTGTCCCAGCCACCCTCCCTGCGCCCATCCTCCCTCCCTGAGGAACCTGCCCCTTCGCAGCTGGTCACATGTCCCCGGGCCACCTCTACTGCAGCAGTGATGCCATGAAACCACGTGGAGGGCACCACCAACCTCGGCACTGCTGCCCTAGGAGGTGCAGGATGTCCACACTCGTGCCCACAGGGGACAGCTTTCATCAGAAGACACTGCAGCAGAGATGGCGGCTGCGACCCAAAGCAGGGGGTTCCCCTGGGGCTGGATCTAAAAGTGACCTGAGGAGAAAAAGGCAAGCGGCTGAGATGAGGCAGTGCTGTGGGACCCTGTGGTAGGCAGTGTTACAGTGTCTGCTGCCACTTGCACTTACAGTGGGACAGACACGCGGACTCACACTGAGGCTGGCTGGGGAGGGAGAGGCAGGCACGCAGGGCTTCCAATCTGCCCTGTGTTGCTCCTTCAACTGGGTCCTGGGCTCGTAGGCATCTTAATGCTCTTTGTATGTGTGTCTAAAATAATTCACTAATGAAACCACTTCCCAACACCTCCACTTGGGTCTCCGGGGAAAATCTAGGATCCTTGCTGGGCATTCCAGGCCCCGTGGGACCTGGCCAGTCAGATGGCCTCTGCAGTATTTGGGTCACACTCCAGACCTTTGCCCCTGCTTTGCCCTCTGCCAGAAATGCCTCTTTCTGTCCATCCGGACTTTGTGGCTATGTCCACATCCACAGGAAGCTTCTAGGCAGCAGAGAAACAGGGTCAGACTTGGCTTTTAGAAAAAGGTCTCTGGGGGAGGCGGATCACTTGAGGCCAATAGATCGAGACCAGCCTGGCCAACATGGCAAAACCCCGTCTCTACTAAAAACACAAAAACTAGCTGTGCGTGATGGTGCATGCCTGTAATCCCAACTACTTGGGAGGCTGCGGCATGAGAACTGCTTGAACCTGGGAAGTGGAGGTTGCAGTGAGCTGAGATTGCTCCACTGCACTCCAGTCTGGGTGACAGAGTGAGACTTTATCTTGGGAAAAAAAAAAAAAAAAAGGCCTCTAGGATCCCCAGTGAGGAAGGCAGGTGGGGGCACGGGGGCAGGGAAAACATCAAGGGGTGGAGAGAGACCTGCCCTGAGGCCCGGTGCACAGCTTGGCATCCACTAATGCCCTTTCACCCTCGTTCCACCAGTAGCCATGGAGATGGCTGTATCTTAACTCCAGCCTTCGAAGAGGGCAAGAGAGTAGGGGAGTCTTGAGCCACAGATAGCCCCACCTGGGCACCATCTCCCCAAGATGTCCCTCAGGGCCTGGGGCTCCCAAAGGTCAGTTATTGACCCCAGGACTTCCACTCATTTTGCTCTCCCTGCCATCGTACTCAGAGGCATCCAGAACTGGCGGATGGGAGAAACCCTAGGGAGACAGGCCTAGATACAGGAGGAGACATGTGGAGCTGAGGCAAAGGCGGGTGTGGATGCCAGGCCCAGTGCCCTCTGTACCCCTACTCCTGCTGACGACCTGGACTTCCTGGGAGAGACAGCGTGGCCTGCAAGGTCCCCCGCCCTGAAGTGGGGAGGGCAGGGCTGGTGGGGTCCGGCCATCCCCCTGGTGGGTCCATGCATGGCAGCCTGGGCAGGGTGCATGTGAGTGCCCACCTGTGCTGGGGTGGCCTGACCCTCTCGGCCTCACAGCCTTGCCTGCCTCGTGGTACTGCCCACCTGGCCTGTCACGACTGCTCTGTGGTGTGTGTGCCTCAGGGATTGAGCTCGTTGGGCTGGGGACAGGGGCCTGCCTAGGTCTGTTGAGAGGGCCCAGGTAGGACTTCCACCCAGACCGACTGGCTGGGGCACAAAGAGAAGCCAGGACAGGGCTGGGTGTGTGTGCAGGGGCGTGCCCTCTGGACCAGGCCCCTCCCACCGGGGCGAGGCAGAGGCCTTGCCTGGATGGAGCAGAGTGGAGGGTCTCCCTGGTGAGATAGTACTAGAAGGGCAGGGACAGCATTCTAGGGAAGGAACCAGAAAGAGCCCTTGCATGGAATGTGGGGATTTCACCATGAGACCCCAGCTGCCTGGCCATGTGTTGGGGACTCCAGGTGGAAGGTCGTGTCTGGGAGGATGGATGGGGGACTGGGCAGTCATTGCCCCTCTCCAGATCTGCGTCCACACTTGTAAAATGGACCTAGAATTCCCAGCCGCTGGGGCGAATGATGCCATAAATTAGTAAAGATGGACCCAGGCTCCTAAGCCCCCTAGGTCATGACCCCAAACCTTGGAACCCCCCACGGAGACGGTAGGGGTGGCCGAGGCCCAATCCAATCTATCCCATCCAAATGTGGGAAGAACCGCAGGGCACACCCCCGGTTTCCCTCCTGGCCGCTCCTGTCTTTGAGGCCACCTCTCTTGAGCCCTGATTTGCTGGCGGATGAACTGGGGATCATCGTGTCCACTGTGGCTGGTGGTCGTGAAACGAAGTGGAAACAAGAGTGTTGAGGCCGAGATGGGCGCAGTGCGCGCTCCTAAAGAGCTGTCCCCATCCGTCCACCCCTCCCTCCCTTGCGCGGGTCAGCTGGAGCGGGGGCGCGCCAGGCACAACCCTGGCCGGGCAGAAGGCGGTGGAGCCCTTAGGGGTGGCGGCTCCTACCCCCGGCCCTCCCATGTTGCAGATGGGGTAACAGCCCGCAGGTTTTTCCCAAGGTCACGGAAGGTCAGAGAAAAGGGGAGCTGGACGTGACAAGGAAAGTCACGAACGGCGGAGGGCGGGCCACCTACGCGCGCGCCCGGGCACACAGAGCAGCGGCGCCCTCCCCGGCCGGGGCCGCTCGGAGCGCGTAGCTTTTTTTCGCCCGCAGCTCGGGATCCGGGAGACCCGCCCCCGCCCGCCCCGCCCTCCCCGCCCTGCCACGGCCCCGCCCCTCCTCTCCGTTTCCCCCGCCCGCGCTCCCTCAAGTTTCTCCGAAGTTTTCCGCGGGTCCAGCGGTGCGCTCCGCCCGCCGGCCGGTGACGTAACAATGGTGCAGCGCGGCGGCCAATGGGCGGTGGCGGGGGCCGGCGGCGCGGGCCAATAGCTGCGGCGGACGGTCCCGCGGTCCTGCCTGGCCGGGGCCGCACTGCGCCGCCCGCCGCCCGCCGCCCGCCCGCCAGCCGCCGGCGACGGCACCGCCGCCCTACGATCCACCCGCGGCGGCTCAGAGCGCGGCTGCGGCGGGCGCGGGCGGCGGCGGCTCCCTCCCTTGCGTCCATCGTGGGACCTTCGCCCGCTCGCCCGCGGGGGACAGCGCGCGCTCCGACCCGCGGCAGGGGCGGGGACGCCCGGCCTGTGGCCCCGCGCCCCTCATGGTGAGTCCCCGTCCCCCGAGCCGCGCCCTCGCCTGCCGCCCCCTCCTCCCCCGGCACACGCGCACGCAGGTGCAGCCCTCGCTGCGCCGGCCACCTGCGCGCGGACGCCCCGCACGCCCCCGCGACCCTCCACCGCCCGACGACTGGCCGTGCCGGCCAGGAGGGGACGGGTAGGAGGAGGTGGCGGGCGGCCCCGGGCGCGGCGCTGCCTTCGATGGCCCAACCCCCCTATTCACGAGCCGCGGCCGTGACTCTGCCCGGTGACGTGGGGAGGCCGAACTTTACGTAACCCGCCCGGCGCCCCACGCGTGCCGGCACAGGGCATACCTGGGGCCCGGAGGCCCAGGCTTGGGGAAGGGCCGCAGTCACGGTGTTGTCCACGGGCTGTAGCCCACCCTCACCGTGCGGCTCTCTTTAACTCAGTTACTGCCAGTGATAGTGACCCAGTCAGTGTGTGTGGACGCGGCCTGCCTTCTGTCCCAGGCCCCTTGTGACCAAGGGCTTACCCTTGAAAGAAGGCAGTAGGGAGCTTGGGACGGAGCCAGAGGTCAGACGCCTATGCTCAGGTCGGGGCTGGGGACTCAGAAGGCAGGGTCAGGGCTCAAGCTCGATTCCCTGTGGGTTGGGGGTCCCCACCAATTCTAGAATGAGCCCAAACTGAGACACAGGAGACCTGAGTTCTAGGCCTGGCTCTGCCGTGGCTTGCTGACCTTGGAGAAGCTTGTGCCCTGCTGGAAAGTGGGATGGCAGTACCTGCTTCATCTAGTAGTTGGGGGGATCAAGAGAGGTATGAGACCTGAAGAGGATGGCAGACTGTGCGGTGCGGTGCACACCGGTCTCCAAGTTGTTTTCAGCCTCCTGTCTCCTCCCAGGAGCTAGGGGTGCTAACCTGTAAGTGTAAGCAAACATGTTTGGATAGAGGGCTGGTGCCACGCCCCAGGCTCACCCCGCCCGCACAGCCGTCGTCCACCCCTCCCCTTTCTTACAGATGTAGCTGAGGCTCGGCCAGGGACAGTGATAGACCCACATCCCCGGAACTAGGTGATCGCGGTGCAGGAACCAGGTAGGTCTGAGTCTAGATCATGCCTCTGAACAGCCCAGGAAGAGGTTCCAGGGGCCTCCAAGTGGTCCGGGATCGGTGGTCAGGGTCAGAGTTGCGCTTGGGCTGGAGAGTGGATTTGCCTTATCTTGAGATGTGGGCCCAAGCTTCCTCATCCCCTCCCTGGCCTTTTCTTTGTTTGGGGTTGTATGAATCTGGCTTAGGTGGGAACAGAAGCTTTTCCAGTGGGTCCCTGGGTTGGAGAGGGGAGGGAAGATTTGAGGGCATGGGCAGCAAGGGCATTTCCAACAGAGGTGCCAGAGAGCAAGTCAGTTTCAAGGAGTGAGAACAGGTACAACTAGATAAAGGATGGAGCCGGGGGTTCTGGGCGTGGGAGAGATGGAGCTGTGGGGTGACTGGAAAGACCTGGCCAAGGCTGGAGGTAGGTATGAGGGCCTGGTGGCCAGGACTGGAGGGGTTGTGTGAGGGGCAGAGGGGAGTCCCTGGGCCTCCCCAGTTTCCCCGCGCCTCACCGTGGTCCCTTCCTTTCCCCGCAGGTGTGCCTTCGCGGGATCCATGCCTTGAGGCCCAGGAGCGCCCCGCCGCCAGCATGCCGTGGGACGCGCGGCGGCCTGGGGGTGGCGCGGACGGCGGGCCCGAGGGCCCGGGCGCGGCGCGCTCGCGGGCGCAGAAGCAGTGCCGCAAGTCGTCGTTCGCCTTCTATCAGGCGGTGCGCGACCTGCTACCCGTGTGGCTGCTGGAGGACATGCGCGCCAGTGAGGCCTTCCACTGGGATGAGCGCGGGCGCGCCGCCGCCTACTCGCCTTCTGAGGCGCTGCTCTACGCGCTCGTGCACGACCACCAAGCGTACGCGCATTACCTGCTGGCCACGTTCCCGCGGCGCGCGCTAGCACCGCCCAGCGCCGGCTTCCGCTGCTGCGCGGCTCCCGGGCCGCACGTGGCGCTGGCAGTGCGCTACAACCGCGTGGGCATTCTGCGGCGCATCCTTCGCACCTTGCGCGACTTCCCGGCGGAGGAGCGGGCGCGCGTGCTGGACCGTCGTGGCTGCAGCCGCGTGGAGGGCGGTGGCACGTCGCTGCACGTGGCCTGCGAGCTAGCGCGCCCCGAGTGTCTCTTCCTGCTGCTGGGCCACGGCGCCTCGCCCGGCCTGCGCGACGGTGGCGGCCTCACGCCTCTCGAGCTGCTGCTGCGCCAGCTGGGCCGCGACGCCGGGGCCACTCCCTCCGCCGCCGGAGCCCCGACCTCAGCTCCAGGGGAGCCGCGCCAGCGCCGCCTGCTGCTCCTGGATCTCCTGGCGCTGTACACCCCGGTGGGCGCCGCCGGCTCGGCCCGCCAGGAGCTGCTGGGCGACCGGCCGCGCTGGCAGCGGCTGCTGGGCGAGGACAAGTTCCAGTGGCTGGCGGGCCTGGCGCCGCCTTCGCTCTTCGCGCGCGCCATGCAGGTGCTGGTCACTGCCATCTCTCCAGGCCGCTTCCCCGAGGCCCTGGACGAGCTGCCGCTGCCCCCATTCCTGCAACCGTTGGACCTCACCGGCAAGGGCTAGGCCCGGAGCATCCTACGCACTGGATTTTGGGACAAAACTATTTTTCAGAGCGTTGTACCCGGCACTTTATATATATTGATCTCTGTATAGCACAATCTCTGCCTCATCTGTCGCATGCATTGGGGGCTGGGCTTGAATGGTCAGGTGAGTTCCAAGTGGCAGGTTTTCTGGGTGCAGCTGGGCTCGGGCCTTCAACTCGCTGTCCAGCCCCGGAAAGGAATGAGGAGCAGCCTCCCACCTTGATCTAGAGCCTTGGACAGGTGTGTGTCCCAGAGTGGGTGACAGCTGAGTGCCGCAGGAGCTGGGTAGGTGCAGGGGTGGGGACTGGCATGTCCAAGCAGCAGGACAGCGTGTAAAAAGGCCTGGAAACCAACAGAACGAGCTCTGCGGCGTAGGATTCTCGCGGAAGGTCCTGTGCGATCAGCCTTTTGCACCCTGTGGACTCCGGGCCAGGGAGGGCACACGGGGCTGATAGGCCCGTGGTGGTTGGTGTTGAGGCATGACCAAGTTGTACCTGGTATCCACCACCCCCCACTTACCACCAGCTCCTCCTTGGATATCACTCCCCTGACAGCCCACCCAGGGCCTGAATTTGTCCCTGTCGCCCCCTTTTGCTCTTCCCCCATGACTAATGGGCACCAGGTCTTGCTGCTCCTGCTTCTCACCTCTGCGGTGGCAGCAGGCCCTGGCTCCAGCTGCATGTCGGTCAGTGGGGTTAGACGTACCTTCCTCCAGGCCTGCCCTCTGTCCAAGCCCAGAGTGGGCTGGGTGGGCTCCCTGGGTGGCCCCCAGTGGGTGCTAGGTGGTGTCTGGGGTTGTTGAGGGGTGGTTCTATCACGGTAGGGACAGGCTTCTTGCCCCAGCCTGGAGAGCTATTTTCTTCAGGAAGGTTCTGGAAATGGAGGCTTGTTCATGAATTCACCACGACTCCAGGCTGAGAGGCTGGGTCTACGCCCTCAGAGCCGAGACCAGGGAGGATGGCCAGGCTGCCCTGCCCGGGAATTCTGCTGGGCCGTGAAATTCAACCCGCACCAACGTGGGCAGGAGGGCCACAATGTCCTGCCAGGAGCAGAGGGCTGAAGGTCTGCCGAAGGAAGAGCCACCATCCTGGCGGGGGGCACCTGCTGCCTACGCTGCCCCCAGTGTGCCTGTGGGGAGCACACCTGGGCGTGGAAGAGTCCAGGGTGCTGGGCCACACAAGAGAGGATGGGGAGAGGCCTGGACAGTAGGAAGATCTTGCCTGGAGTCCTGGATCCCCCACTCCGGGGGTGACCTTGGACAGGCCTGTACCTTGGCCCTCAGTCTCCCCATCAACGTTTTTCCATTCAGGAGGTTTTGGGCTGTCTTCAGCCACCCTACCAGCCCTGAAAAGGATGTGACTCCTGTTTCTGGGAAGTGTGTGGTGTATTAGGTGGGCACACAGTCCTGGTTGTGGGGCGGGAAGGATAGAGAGGGAGCATAGTGATGGAGCCCAGACTGTAGGCTGGAGTGAGGGCTCCACTTCCCTGCTGCTGTGTGTCCTGGACCAGTGCTTCTGAACCTTGGCACTTGGGGCAGTGGATATTAACATCTTTCCAAGCCCAAGACTTGGGGCATTAGGGCCTCTGGTCCTCTGGGAGGTGGCAGGTCCTCAGGTTGGAGATGCCATAGGAGGGGGAGGTACCTCTTTGGAGGATATGGAAGTGGAGACAGTGGTGTGGTGCAGCTGCCGTGGTTCTTAGGGGCTGGGCCTGGGGAGCCCATGGGACCCTGATGCCCCAACAGCTTCTGCCTAGAAAGCCTGGGCTCCTTGCTGGGGCTGTAGACATGCAGACTTCATGTCCTCCCAGCTCCAGCTCTGTTCTCCATAGGTCAGCCCCACAACGCCAGAGGCCCAGAGCTAGTCCCCTCCATGTCCCCCCTAGACCTACAGCTGCCCCTTTGATGACAGCACCGTTGAGTCCCTGGGCTGGGGGGTCATGCGGGGGTGAGGCAGCTGCCTGCCCCCGGGACTCCTTGCCTGACCAGGCAGGACACAGGCTTGTGGGCACGGAGAGTGGGCCCCATGAAACCCATTGCCAGGTGACCAGGATGAGGCACCCAGGCCGGCCCGAGGATTGCAGGGCGGGCCTGCCGCAAGAATTATGGCCACCGCAGCAGGATGGGCAGCCTGGGCCATTAGCTCCTGATGTCATCCATTTGGGTGAGGGGACAGGGAAGTCAGAGGAAGCTGGCCAGTTGCTCTCACGCAGCCTTATGGCAGAATGGTGCCTGATTCCTGGTATAGCTACTCCCACTGAGTCTCCAGGGATGTGTGGCTCAGGAACCTCCCCCTGCAACCCCCTCCTCCTGCAACCCCCTCCCCCTGCAATCCCTTCCCCTTGCAACCCCCTTCCCGACCCCCACACTGGTGGGAGGAGAGGACCTAGAGGAAAGGTGCTGGGCAGATAAGCAGCCGAGGGCGGCCCTGGGTTTGGCTTATCAGCCTTCTGGGCCCTCCTGCCCCAGGAAGGGCAGCGAGGACCATGGTGTTACCCCTGTCATCCTTATCGTCCTGGCCATGAGCTTGCAGGACTGGGAGGGCTGGAGGCAGCCAGGCAGACAGCAGCACAGCTTTTGCCTGTTGGCAGGTGGCCTTGGTGGCTTCCCAAAGGCAGTCGCTCCATGCAGAACAAAACTCACTTTTTGGGGGGGGGCAAAGCACCTTGGTTCATTTATTTAGTTCGTTAATTCCACCAGTCTGTTTCTAAGGGAACATAGCTGCAGCCAGTCCTGCCCCTCCACCCACCCACCAGGTGCCCAGTGTTCCCAAGGACCCTGAATCCCAACTCTATTCAGGGATCAGCATCTCTGCACCCCAAATGTCTGTTAGGGAGGATAGTGAAGGCTTAGCCCTCCTGGGCTCATCAATATCCAGCAGTGAGAGACCATCCCCATCTCCCTGAGGTGACCTTCTAGGGCAGTCCATGTTGTCTGGCTGGCCTGGGCAAGGTGGGCAGGGATTAAGGCCTTCTGGTGCCTGGGCCTTGCTGGGCTTGCTCTGCGTGCTGACTTCATCCCGATAGTACCTCGATTTTCCTACTGTGACTTCCCCTTCTGTCGACTTCTTCACCAACTTTAAAATTCCGTATTGAGAGCAGTTTCCTAAGTTACCTCAAGTCCTATTCAGAACAAGGATCTTCCTGGAAGTTAGGAGGAGGGAAAAGAAGTTTAGTCACAGAAGACTATTCCATGTTTGAGCTGCTGTTTCAAGGGAAGTAAGTAACTGCTGGAGGAGCCCTGCCCCTCTGCAACGTGTGGTTTTGCCCTGATACTTTTCAGACTGAGGTGTTACTTACATGTAATAAAATGGACAGTCTTAAGTGTATACTTTGATGAGTTCTGATGAATGTCTACGTGTGTAATCACCACTGCAATCAAGATGGAGGGAAAGGCCGGGCACAGTGGCTCACGCCTGTAATTCCAGCACTTTGGGAGGCCAAGGTGAGTGGACCACGAGGTCAGGAGTTTGAGACCAGCCTGACCAACATAGTGAAAACCCGTCTCTACTAAAAATACAAAAATTAGCCAGGCATGGTGGCACATGCCTGTACTCCTAGCCACTCAGGAGGCTGAGGCAGGAGAATTGCTTGAACCCAGGAGGCGGAGGTTGCAGTGAGCCAAGATTGCGCCATTGCACTCCAGCCTGGGTGACAGAGCAACACTCTGTCTCAAAAAAGAAACAAACAAAAAAAAGATGGAGGGAAAGACAGATTTCTATTGGTGATTCTTAAAAGTTTATTTATTTGTTTGTTTGTTTATTTATTTAATTTTTGAGATGTAGTCTCTGTCTGTCATCCAGGCTGGAGTGCAATGGTGTGGTCTCAGCTCACTGCAACCTCTGCCTCCCGGGTTCAAGCGATTCTCTTGCCTCAGCCTCCTGAGTAGCTGGGATTACAGGTGCCTGCCACCACGCCCAGCTAATTTTTGTGTTTTTAGCAGAGGCTTGGTTTCAGCATGTTAGCCAGGCAGGTCTCAAACTCCTTACCTTGTGATTCGCCCACCTCAGCCTCCCAAAGGGCTGGGGTTACAGGTGTGAGCCACCGCGCCTGGCTCTTGAAAGTAATTTCTTTCTGCTTATAAAATTCATGCTCACTGTGGAACACTGGGGATTAAGTAGAGAGGTCCAGGCCACGGTGTGGCAGGGCCCTGCCAGGGAAACACTGTCTCAAGCGCCCCACCACCCCACATGGTTCCCGGAGGTGGGGCCCCTAAGCACTTACGGTACAAGTAAAGGTGCCAACTGACTGCGTCATGTGCACGCATACAAGCACTACTAGCATTCTGGGGTATGTTTCTTCCAGGTCTTTCTATGCACATATATATTACATTTTTTTCTGTGCATATTTATATATGTATGAAACCAGATCAGTTATACAATTTAGTATTTTTTAACCTTACTGTAGTATAAGCATTTCCCCCACTGTACTTTGTACATATGATTTTTTTTTTTTGACGGAGTCTCGCTCAGTCGCCCAGGCTGGAGTGCAGCGGTGCGATCTGGGCTCACTGTAAGCTCCGCCTCCTGGGTTCACGCCATTCTCCTGCCTCAGCCTCCCAAGTAGCTGGGACTACAGGTGCCTGCCACCACGCCCGGCTAATTTTTTGTATTTTTAGTAGAGACGGGGTTTTCACCTTCTTAGCCAGGATGGTCTCGATCTCCTGACCTCGCCCGCCTCGGCCTCCCAAAGTGCTGGGATTACAGGCGTGAGCCACTGCGGCCGGCCGTAAATATTTTTAAGAAGTCATTGGTGTCTATTTTGTGATATTTGACTCAACCAGCCTTGATAACAAAGAGTAGTTAGAGACAACTGAATTTTTTAAATGTAAATCTGATTTATTTTTGGAATAAATAATATATTTACATGACTGGAAATTCAAAGGATACAAAAAGGCATATACTCCAGGCAACCACTGTGACCAGCTGCTCATCACAAGTAGAGAACTTGTTTCTTTTCGCCCCTCCTTCTCCCCCCTGGAGTTATGAAACATTTCAAACCTGTCGAAGTTTGAAGCTGACAACAAATACCCTCCAACGTTTGGGTTTTCTCCCTCCCCCTTCTCTCCCTTTCTCCCTC